TGTGGAGAGTCTTGTTGCATACATATGAGGTTCGTGATGGATATCCTCATCTTTAGGTCCAGTAATTGTCGTTTTCCATCTATGGGGTACATGTATCCTTGGGGTTTTTGTATGCTGTGCGCAATTCTTCCCAGCCTTATTAGAGGGAAATAATGTTATCGGCACCTCGCCACATTTCACGGTTGAAATAGTTAAACCCACTCCATTTTTGGTACGTCCTATGTATTTGCAAACATAACCGCTTCATGGACAAATTTGATGCGCAATCAGGAGCAGGTTCGGCGCTAAGAATACACAGTTGAGAAAGGTGATTTCTGTCGCAGACTGGTTGTTGCATATGCATCTCACTGGTTCAATGGTTACTGCCGCCTGCTGTTGCATGCCATGCTGTCCTAGTAATGACATGGTGAGGGCACACCAAAGTCGCTTTAGTTTCATCACTCATTGTCACTCTGCACAAAAAATCTTGCATGATAACAAGATAATGTTATCGTAGATTACATATCAACAGACGAATCTTTGTAGTTTAACCACCAGCATTGCCTTGTGCAAGAGATATAATATGCTAGTTTGTGGCAGAAATATGCAAGTTACGAGTGCAGACGGTCAGCAAGATGTCAATATTCATGAATCAATATATATGCGAGGAGAAAATTATGGAGACACAACTAATACTATAACATGAGACGGGCAACTCCGGTAAGCCCTTAGCACTGTAAGGACTGTTCACATGTTAAAGAATTCAAAGGTAGAACTGGCAGTGAGTTTGCAGCGAGAATGTCTGCAGCGTATTTCGTTTTCAGTTTCGATGTCTTTGGCGTAAGCTTGGTGTTTTTCGGTGGGCAGTCATCAGTTTACAGGCAGCAGTGAAGGCTGCAACAGTGTGGCTCAGCGTAATGAGTAATACACTGCATACTGCGTTGGAAGCAAGACGAAGAAAGGTGTATATTACGTGTATACTGGTATTCCAATCAATAATAAGGAAGAATTAATATAGACTGACTACTGCCATTAGAAGCAATCAAATTAAGAGTTATTAGTGAATTACTGCACTTAAACAGTAAGACTGAAGTTAATACTAGGCTAGACCTGCATTCACAACAAGCGTGTAAGAGAAAGAACCAAGACCGAACACTCTGGCGTCTTATACCACAAAAGGAGAGATAGCAACATCGCTGGACTATGTAGGAGAATGTTTAGCAACACGGCATTGCCAAAACTATATATGCTAATATGTTGTTGTGCCGTACGGCAACTTGTTCGTCGACTTGTCTGGTTCTACTTGCTTATGACTTTTGGCAATCTTCATTGACATTTTGCTTTATAAACAGTTCTCATTCAATAGAATTTACTTTACTCTCTGTTTTGGCAACTTAATTGCTTCGCCGTTGCAAGACAATGTGTTGCCGTTATAACACGTAAAAACTCCATCCCTTACTAAGCAGGGACGTATACATACGCCCCTGCTCGATCCGTCTACAATTGTTCTTACAGGAACACAGGATAGTGTGTCACTATTTTCAGTTATTACGAAGATGCTAATGGTAAATACGATGGTCTCCATTCTTCTAAGTAACAAGGTACCATACATATGCGCGCCTTAAGCACAGCAACTGACTTTGCCATGATACAGCTTTCCTTTGACCTTTCACAGCAATGCCGTTATATATTACACATTTCACATGAGAACGCGGTTCTGCGCCTGCACTCGTCATTGTATTATGAGCGATCACTCGTTGCACGGTGAACGTGACAACTACAAAAGTAAAGGTGCAGTATCGATAATGACGAACTAACAACCGCTACGATCAACGAGCTGTTAGGGCCTCTACACACGCTGGCACTGTGCGATATGCTGCCACTATATCCTTACTTGGACGCATATGTTTTGCAGTAGGTCAGGCACTCGTTCACAAGCTTACGAGTGGCGTCGCAATAATATAGCAATTTCTTTCATTGCAGTTTACTTGCATCTGAATCTCATATATCGATGTAACTACATGGAAACTCAATAATAACAAGAAAATATTATATTAATATAGAAACTTTACAAGCTGTTTAGATTATATAAATTGTATTATATATTGTCATCTGAGCTAAGCGATAGCTGTCCCTGATTTTTAAACGTGAAATGGTTTCGATTAAACAATTGTAAATTTGTCACACAAGCAGAATATAACACACAACCACGCATTACCATTTTATGCCCAAAAAAAAAACACTCAGCGACAAGCAGATCGAGGTATGTTTTTGGGTGGTGTTGTAGCCACCAGTGCCAGTACGACGCTGCGCAAGTTTATTCATTTTTTTCTAATCGCACGCATTGATGCACAAAGGTAAAAAACTTGTACGTAAAGCTGATAATGGCCTTGCACAGCGACTAGTTTTTTTTATAAGACAATCACTGGCATTCACTGACTGTCCTATAGTTAATAACTGCGATAGCGCTTAGCCTATCACTGACCACGGTCAGTAAATTGAGTTACGTCACGGCGACGACTGCCCCATCTTGCCCACAATGCAACCCCAAATACTGAAAATCTGCTAGTGTGAACCATAACATTCAATTGTGGTTAATAGACGAAAGAGTTTATTTTATAATTGCATATATTGCGATGCAAACAACTTGATACAACACACGGACAGAATTGATATGTTTTTTATAGATAGATATATTACAGCGACTGAGAAAGAGACAACAGATATGAGTTTATAATAGGGCGCTTCTCTTGCATGGTGGAGCGTCATGTGTACGTGAAAGATTCTAGTTGAGGGAGCGTTCATTGAACATCTGAATGGACCTTACACTATTGGTGACCAATCTGTGATCTACATTGGCTAATGACTGTGACAACGAGGAAGTGGGAAGTCTAATGTCAGCATATCGGAGCGATATCACGATGTTTAAAATCCGTCGGACCGGAAATAGTCTCGTTCCCTAGTGAGTTCAGTCTGTCCTCTATCATCACTATAACTACAAATTTATTTTTTTATTTTTTATTTTGCCACTTTTCAGTTTCATGTTGTACAGATAATTTCCGTAGTAGTAAAAGGGAGAGCAAATAATAATATTATAGAATGAATAGGCTTAAGGGTGAAGCCCGTGTGCGTAGTGAGTCAAGCTAGTAATAGCTTTCGAGGTTGACCACTTACGAGAGTGTGGGGCAGTGGGCGGTCCTTCCTCCCCT